TGTGCTCACCTGCAGCCTGTGCTGCAAAGTGGGTTGCAGCTGAGTTTTCCATGCTCTGGAGCAACCCAGCAGCCTGCAGTGCTTCTGAGTCCCCACATTTAGAAGTCACGAATGTGTGCAATTCCACCCCCACGGCTCAATTTGATAAAACAAAACCTATTTGCTGAGCTGTCTCAAGCAAAAGGGAACCTCTCCCTACTCCTGATTATTGTGCACTCATTAGCACCAGCCACTTGGCATATGTGCCTTCACCCAACACTTGTAGGATTCTTTTCAGCAAGGCAATGTCATTGTCTCCAAGCACACCTTATCCCTAGCCCAAGCTGGTGGAGGACAGCACCAAACCCTACAGAATAGCAGTGTGATGGGGTCCCCCAGCTGCATGTACACAGACATACACACAAACTGTGTGGAGAAACACTGAGATGCACCCTGAACTCTGGGACACCACAGTGGCCAAATTCCATAGGTTGGTCAGGTACTGCAGCTGACAGCAATGAACATAAAAGTGAGCAAGGACTATGAGAAAATGAATGGAGAACTAAAAAAGAGCTTCTTCCATGAGCTTCAATCGTCACTTTCACTCCATATGAAATCAGAAAGGATTCAACTCCAACATTTAAAGGAGGAAAATCAACTTTTTACAGGGGTTGATAGTGATAGGACAAGGAGGAATGGTTTCAAGCTAAAGGAGGGAAGATTTAAATTAAATGTTGGCTAAGTTTTTCACAGAGAGGGAGGAGAGGTGCTGGCACAGGCTGCCCAGGGAAGCTGTGGCTGCTCCATCCCTGGAGCTGCTCAAGGCCAGGCTGTGTTGGATGCTGGGCAACCTGAGCTGGTGCAGTTGGCAACCCTGAATGCAGCAGGGAGTTGGAACTTAGTGATCCTTAAGGTCCCTCCCAACTCAAGGCATTCTATGATTCTGTGATTTGATGGACTTGGGGGAATTTAACAGCTTACAAAATAGACAGACTTCTTAAATGTTCAAATGAATCTGTGAATGAACAAGGTCCTTCTGTGTCCTTCAGCTGAAGTTGCTCTTACGTTTCACTTATACTGCTGCAAAGGCATTTACATATATTTTTATATATATATAAAACTCTAAATCTTCATCTATTATTCAAGATGAGAAATGCTGCAAAGGGAAAAGCCATTTTAATTTACTGGATTGGTTTTTTTCTACATGTGAGCCATTTCCTTCACTTTGGAAGACGCCTTTAGATCTCCTTAAGGAAAAGCATCCTTTCCCTGGAGAAACACGGAATACATATCAGACAGTGGAAAAAAAAAAAAAAGAAGAAGAAAAAAACAGAGTTGTTTTTTTTTGTTCTTCTTGATGGAAGAAAAAATACTGTTTGTGACCCTGAGCTCTGCATTCTGAGCTGGAAACCCTTTTACAGAAATGAAGCCCAAAGAGATGGAGATGATGCTCTGCAATGGCTGGTGCTGCAGAACCCAGCTCCGGGCTGAGCTCTGCCTGTGAAGATGAGTGATGAAGCAACAGCGTGCACAACAACCTGCACCCACCAGCCCAGTGCTAGCACTACAAAACAGCTGAGCATGCCTGGAGGCTTCAGTTCAGCCACAAAGGGATGAATACAGTTGGTTCCACCATTTGTTGGCAGGGAAGCCATGGGAGAGCAGCTATACTCAGTCTTATGCATTCAACTCTTGGATTTATTATTCTTAATCAAGCCTTAATCAAAGGTTACATCTCCTGAAGCAGCACCAAAAAGCCATCCCACACATTAATTTATTTGCAATCCTCCAGCAAGTTCCTATGGTCAGAATCAAATACATATTTTAACCTTTTCTAGCCATACTTTATACATATAACTGCAGGTGCTCTTCAGCATACACACATTTTTCTTGGCACCTGCACAACTGCTGCCGAGAGCCTGTATGAATTCACAAGAATGGGATTCAGCCCGTGTGTCCAAATCTGCAACTCCGTCCATCACATCGGCGTCCTTAGTTGGCCTGCCTCAAACTGACAAGTTGTACCTTAGAGCCAAGTGTGTAGAAAAGATAACAAAAAAGAACACAGGAAAGAGAGAAGGAGACCATGCTGGGCGAGCCGCCTTTGCCCATCACGAGGTGGATGAAACGAGTGCAAGCTTTACAGCATGGTGCTTGCTGCCACCGACCACCGAGACGTCTCCACAGCCTGTTTTCCCCAGGCACCCAGAGCTCTGATTATACAAGATGTCCCTGCATGGACCTGCTTCCAAAAAGCTGCCCACGCCCAGTGCTGAGCCAGCCCCAACTTCTCCCAGCTCTGAGCTCTCCCTTCCCTACGACAACAGGAGAACTGAGAAGTGGAGCACGCGGTGCCAACCAGCGCCAAGCACAGCTCTGCTCATGCACGCCATTCCTGGATATTTCAGTTGCAGCACTGTGTTGCTTATTATAAACACTTAATTGACGTAAGCTCACACCATTCCTTTACAGAGGCAAAGAACATGGGGAGTGTGCTGGGGTGGACGGGACGAACTGGGGCTCTGTGTCGAGCACTGCCTTGGTTTCGCCATCTGCACAGTGGGGTGAACTCTCTCCATTTAGTAGAGCTTGCCAGGTACTGTAGATGCATATCGCTCTGTCAGAGTGAAGTATTTTAACAGTTACTACAGCTGTAAAACAAGGTCATGTTTAGGAAGGTAACAACAGTTCCCCCAGCAGCGTGCCACTTCCAAATGGGATCTACCCCTTTTGAACACGGGTGTTTCTCACGTTCCTCTCACCACGCTAAGCTGCATATCATTAAGCGCACATAATCACTGGGGTTGTGGGTCACTGCACAATGTATGCACATTTCTTTAAACTAGTTTCAGTTCATTTGCATGTCATTTCCTATGCACAGGAGTGACTCTGCAATGAATAAGTAACGCGGGCACAGCACACCCCCTGCACCAACAATGAGAATGGCAGCAAACCCAGCGGCGTGTGAGCCTCTGAGCAGCACACCTGAGCCCAGGAGTGGGATGCACCAGTAGAACAACCCTTCATTTGAAGACTGACAAGAGAGAACTGGGCAGGTGGTGTATTTTTAAAGCAAATTAATTTCTCTACTTGTTTAATTTTACAAATGGAATACCACACTGGTTACAAGTGATTGACTGTCAGCTCTGAAGACTGAACAGTTTTATTTTTACAGCACTGACTAGCATTGATCCTTCCGTTTAGTCAATAAAAAGTCTTCCTTAAATCACTCTGGTGTGTAACTTATTGAACACCTCCCTCAGCCCACGCGAGTGGAGGGAATTCTTAGAATTTAATGATTCTTCATGGGTGTTTAGTGAATCCAAAGGAAGCAGAATTACACCTGCAGCTGGGAGCAATGGGATGGGACCAGTAACAAGACAGCCCACCCACATCCCACCGTCAAACTTTAACACAACAAAGCATCTTGAAATCCAGAAAACAGGTCTAGATTTGGGTTGAGGGCTGACCATCAGATATGATGATCTTAGTGGTCTTTTCCACCTTAATGGCTCTGTGTTTTTATGGTTTCCACCCTTTGAGTCCTTGGCTTGAGGGATGTCACTCAATAGCAGATGGTGAGGAAAGAGGAATGAGAAAAGGTTCCATCAGTGAGAGTCCCAGGTCCCACTCTTGATCCCACAAAAAGGGATTCCTCAGATAAGATGAGAACACTTTTTGGCAAAAAGCCATTTTATGGTCTGGATTCACAAGGTAATTAAGATACAGGATGGCCCACAAGCTACCACTCACAGTAAGATGAACAAATTAAGAAAAAAGCAACATTGTTTTTTTCCTTTGAATATGTCAAGTCACGCTGTATTTCAAATATTTTGCATCCTCTCTTGGCAGTTGCTTTAGAACAGATCATTAATAAGTCTGGTTTGCAGCCTAACCACATGCACTGTGAGTCTTGAAGCATTTTGCTAGCTGAATACAGCCCCAGCCCCACAGGCTGTGTATGGGGGGGATGCTGGCAACAACCCAACAACCCAGTCTTCTTTCCCCTTCAATCACAACTAACCATGAATGGCCTTTTTACCTGAGAGGTTTTCCCTGTTTTTGTTCCTCCCCTGAGTGCTGGTTACATATCTCAGCCTACAGCCCCGGGAGCAGCCACCAGCTGGTCGACACCTCGCTGCAGGGTGCACGTATATGGGAAATATGGGAGGACTACTCAGGTTGACGACACATCCCTAAGAGATGAGTAGATGTGTACCACACTTAGCCATGATACTAACAAACACCTGAGGAGAGGACCTGCTCACAACAGCTTCTCAAAGCAAGCCGTGTTTTACTTTATTTTTTTTTCTGAGTGGTGGTTTCTAGCAATGAAAGAAAGAAAGGAAGAAGAAAATAGTAATTCCATTGAGAATTCAGGAAGGGCCTTTTCCTGCCAGGTGCTGAGTTCTCATGCCGACCAAGGACGCCTGAAAGCACTGCTCAGAACTGAACCTGTGGGTGGTGGGACTTCATGGCAATGTGAGCAACACGTACATCAGCACAGAAGTTTTCCACAAGGAATGGAGACTAAGCCCATATACAAACATACAAACAAATAAAGGAAAAAGAGGAACAGAAGGCTGTCCCAAAATGCATTTCTAGGCTCTTGCAAGCTCGGTATTATGTGCAACAGTCATGCAGCTGCCATCTGGAAGGCTTTCAGAGCTGAGGAAATTCCCCACGCAACTCAGCTCAAGAAGCAGCACTTGAGGGATCAAGATATCAAATGGCCACGATTCTAATTGATGCTCGGCTTATCGATCCCCTTGTCACTATGCAGAAAATAAGAGCACGTTATTTGAGAAGCGAAGCTAGTGGGAGGTGGGAAAATACAACCGTGAGTTAAGCCGCTGGGTTCCTCCTTCGGGCTGCGGCGGAGATCTGCGCCCAGCGACCCCGCAGCTCGGGGGGAACCGCAGCGCCCGGGCGAAGTTGAGCGCGGAGCGAGCCCTTCCCCCGACGGCTGGAGGCACCCGGGAGCGGAGCCGGTCCCCACGGCCTCGGCCCGCGGTACTCACCCGGTCTCCTCCTCACCGGCCTTTTCCTGCCGCTGCAGAAGCGCACTTTGCTGAAGACCCCCAGGACGTGCCTCTCGCAGAGGGAGCGCCCGTCCTTGCTGGGGCTGGAGCGGCGCTTGGAGGCGGACACCCGGTCGCTGTTGGACTCCCTCGCCTGCCGCTTCTGCCGGATCAACGAGCTGGCGATAGCCGCTGCCATCGCCGCTCATGGGCCCCCCGCGCCTCGCCTCGCCGCTCCGGTCCAGGGGAGCGCGCTGGGGCCGAGCCGCCGCCGCGCCCCGGGGGGACGGGGACGCCCCGCTTAGCGCGCTGCGGCCCCGAGTCCCGGCAGCGGGGAGCGCTCAGCCGGCCAGGCGGAGCGGGGCGCTCCGGCTAACAACCATGGCTGGCCGCCGGACCCCGCCGCCCATGGGTCCGTCCCCGGAGAGCGCAAATCCCGGCCGGGCCGGCGGTGCCCCCGCGCCTTGTAAATCCGGGAGGCGGCCGCCCCGCTCGCAAAGGTCCGCCGGCGGCTGCTGTGTCCAGAGGAGGGTGCGCGGAGGATCCGCGGGTCCCCGCGGCGCGGCTCCGCTCCGCTCCGCTGGGGCGAGGGGCCGTGGGATGAGTCAGAGCCCCCCCGGCCCGCAGCCGGCCCCGGCCCCAGCGCGGTGGCTCCCAGGCGCGGCGCGGCACTGCGCGCACATGGACGCGTCCCGCGGCTCCGCTCCGCTCCCGCGGCAGGGCTCAGGGCGAGCCGCGCTGCATTTCTGTTTGCACTCCTCCTCTTCCTCTTTTCCCCCCCTCCCCACTCCTCTCGCGGAGAAGGGCGGGAGGGGAAGGCAAAGCGGCCACAAGAAAAAGCACCAGGCCGGCGAACAAAGCAAAAAGAGGCAACGCAATTAAATTAAATTAAATTTAAAAAAAAAAAAAAAAAGAAGCGCTCCGGCCGAGGGTACGGGCTCACATCGCCGCAGCTCGGCGCCCCGGGCTCACAACGCCATGGCTGGTGCAGCTCCTCCAGCCCCGCTCGCCGCCTCTGCCCCGGCCGCGGCTCTCCCAGACGGCAGCAGCCCGCATCGTCCGGCCCGGCCCGGCGGGAGCCGCGGGCGCTCAGCACCGGGGCGGCCCCGGGCCCGGTTGCCGCGGCGGGGACGGCGGCAGGAGGAGCGATGCGAGGCGTGGGGGAGGAGGAGGAGGAAGAGGAGGAGGGCGGTGTGGGGGGTGCGGCTGCCACTGCTCCGTGCGGGGCTCAGGACTCCTCGCGGTGCCGCCCGACGGCGGCGGGGCGTGGAGGAGCCGCGCCGCACCCGCCGCCCTCCTGCATCCTCCGGCTCAGCCCGGCTGTAACGGGGGGGGGAGAGGGGAGGGAGCGGCCGGGGAAGCCGCCCCCCCGGACTCCCAGGCAGCGCGGGGCCGCTGCCAAAGCGGCGGGGAGCTCCGCAGCCCCGCGGCGGTCGGTGCCGGCCGGGAGCTGGGCTACGGGCTCGGGGAGGATTGCAGCTGCTCCCCGCTCGCCCTTCTCTACGCAATCCTACGTGATCGAGGTTCGGATGAGAAAAAATCGCGCAGGCAGAGAGAGGCAACTGCAGCTCCGCGGTGGCTCTGCCCCTTTGCCCGGGCAGCCCTCGGGAGCATCCCCGGGCCGCCCCCATCGGGAAACGGGCATCCCTGGGCCCTTAGCCCCGGCCGGCCCCGACCCGCCCCCCCTAAGGAGCCGCCGGAGATGCGCGCAGCCGACTCGGACACCTCCGCGGCTGCCGAGCTCAGCTGCCCGCCGGGCGTCCCCACAGCTTTCCCCTATTCTCTAGACAGAGACAGGTCTGCGTTGCTGGGGGGCTGCTGTCTTGTCTGGGGGGCATGAAGGGTGGATGCAGTGGTGGGCACCGCTGGGCTGCCCTCGGTACCTGTGGTCCCAGTTCACAACGCATGCTTATCAGCACATGCTCTGAGCATGTGAGCACACGCTCAACCAGCCTGAGCTGGGTTGACTCCTTCTTATTTCCACAAACAAAACTTCAGTGAACTAAATTTAAGATGTAGAAATACGCCTCTGGTCATATGGGCTGTTGCTGCTGCTGTTAAGAATGGTGGCTCACCAGCTTTCAGGTACAAGAGCTACTATGTCTGTATGCTGAAAGTGATGAGCAATAGGGTACCTGGGGAAGCACAGGGTTAGGAGATCTCAGCTGCTCCAAGTATCATGGGACAAGTAACAGTGACGAGTTCCAATTCCAAAGTTGCCGGGATGAAGACAGCCCTTTAAACCAACTGGGGAACCCCCTGGGAATCACCAGCTTCAGCAAAATAATCGATGTCACCACTTTGCAGCAAGAACTTCAGCTCTTAACTATTGTAATGGATGGGGAAAAAAGGTAAATGAAATATCCACCCATTGTGACCACAAAGATGAGCTAAACTCTGGCATTACTTCCTGATATTCACTCATAATCCTGTGGATGCCAACGAGGTGGAGTCAGGTTCTCCAGGAGAGAACAGGAGAGGAAGATATTCACAGCCATTCAGGAGATATAAACGTCAGGCTGTGGATTTCTTTTTAACTGCTGCCAATTTTTATATTTTTTTTTAGCAGATTTTGCTGTTCCAATCAATAAAGATTTTTCTTTCCTTTCCTGTAACTAAAATGCTTCGTATTTTAATTTTCTCTGCTGGATTATTTCAATTGACATCAAAGAATGTTGCAGTACAAGGTACAGGCATGGCCTAAAGAAAGCTGTTTGCAATCAGGGAATCACTGTCTGAACTGCCAGTGAATTATCCAAAGCTCCATCTTCAAAGGATGTGAGCAAATCTGATATCTCCCCAAGAAAGAGGTTTTCCGTCCTTATATAAAGCTACTTTCTGACTGTAGTCAGGTCAAAGAACTCTGTTTTATCCCCCCCCTATTTTAAATAAGTTTCACATATGTTATCTCCTGACTCATTTATTTTCTTGTGTAGCCGCAAACCCAAAGCAGCAGCTCTGCACTTAAAAATGATCCTAATGGGTGATAAAGCTGCTCACAGGCCTTGTTGGTGATTTGCGGATCTAAGAAGAGAGCAGCTGCAACTCCAAAAAGAAATGCTTCTCCCTGGTCTCTCAGCCTCTGCAGTAATGGAATTAAATTAAAGCAGAGCTTCTGAAGCTGAAGATAATATTGCGTTTGCTAGCACACAGGTCTTTATTTATAGATGGCCAAGTAGTCCATGGTTCGGTTCTCAATGCAGGCACCGTGCCATGAACTCCTGGTGACATTACTGGCATGCACACCTGCTCTGCACCACTCTGGATCACACCCCAGCTCGCAGCGGTTCTGAGCAGCCCATGCTTTTAACAACACTGAGCGAGCCCAGAGCTGGAACTGAAGGCCAATCTCATCGTGCTCCTGCACTGTCATTCTTGCAGGGGAAATGTGTCATCCTAGGTGGGCTGCCAAGCGAAGCAGAAAGGCCTACATATGCTCTACACTGTGCCAGCAGAAGTTCTCCCCTCCAACTTCTATCAGGGGAAGCTGAGCTGAAGCCGTCTCCCTGTCCGTCTGTCCCAGCTGTCCCTCTGAGGGCAGCACAGCACACAGCAGTGCATGGAGCGCTCCTGCTGCAGGCAGGCTCTGCACTCCTCACTGCCACCAAAGCAAGCTCCATTGTTTGACCAAACCAGCCCAGTGAGGCATTTTTCTTTAAGGCACACATTCCTTACATCTCTATCTGTCTACATTTTTTTTCCCTCTCTCTATAATAGCATTAATATAATATTAACATCCCTTTAACCTATGATGATTAAGGCAGTTTTTCTCCCTCCCTGTTCTCCCTGGCGCTCCCTCCTCGCCTCCATCCCAGAGAGCTGCACACTCCACACTGCGAAGAGGGAAGGAGTGATCTGCACTCATTCACAAAACAAACAAGCAAACTGCTGTGACCACGTTGGAGAGATCCTGGTTGCTCCTACAGATGTTAGAAAGGCCCATCGTGCACATATGAGCAAGCAGAGAGTTCTCCATGCCTGATCGTGAGGCCTTTTAAATGCCCCTCAGTCCTCATCCTGGGCAGAAAGGAGCCTACACACTGGGCACGAGCTGTGGAAGGAGGCCAACATAAACACTTCAACGTGTTCTCACCTATGAGATTTTGTTCACTCGATAAATAAATTCTTCTGTCCTCTGTGCTGAGGTTTAAAAACGAAGGCCTGGATGAATTTCAGAGCTTTGCTGGCTTGAATAGAGAAGAGATCTAGAATTGCATTCCCTTACCTTCCCAAACAGAATGATCTATCTAGGTCAAAACGGAGGTTATTGGCATCCTTCCTTAGCGAAGTGCAATAATTCCCGCAGGGCTGCTTACAGAATATCCTGTTTATTTTTCATAGAGCCTTCAAAAGCCATGGGCTATATTCTGTAGATTTTGTCATTAGGCATATCTCTCTTCTACTAATTCTGTGCACAGACAGCTAACCACAGATAGAAATGTATGCTTTTTTTATTTGCTCTTTTATGTGCACAGCTACTAAAAATGCATACACAACGTTAAGGGAGGTTTAAATTTAATAGCACTGTAAAATGTATCAGTGTATTCCTGTAGCTGAATGGGAGAAGAAAGGCACCCATCTCTCACTGATAATTATGAATGGCCTAATTCACATCTCATAGCAGCATAGCAACAAATCTCTTCCAATAGGAAGGCACCATTGAGTTTGGAAGTCTGCATGCAGCCACCTTTTAAGAATTGTACCAAATTCCTACCCTGTGTAAATTACATCTAAAATATGTGCATTGCCAGGTCTGCTTATTAAGTGGAATTAAGCCCATATCCATGTTTTATTAACTCTGTTCTTTACAAGGTAGCCCCTTGCTGCATGTCTGACATAATTAAAATTCAAGCAGCTTTGGCATTCCCCAGTCTCTCTGCGTGGGTGGACTTTTTAAAAAATATGCCTGGGTAACCTGATAAGGAAAAGAAAAGACCTTACAGTATTTTGGTTGTTTTATATGCAGGGTAATTCTGTTTACAATGCATGGTTTTATATCTGCGTTTGGATGCCTAATAAGAATTCACATGGCCCCTTAAAAATCTGCTGTTCTGGGAGAGAGATCTGGCCCTAAAACAGCAGCAGAGCAGGAAAACTGGCTGGCTTTCTGGGCTTTTCTCGCGCAGCTGAGCTCTGAGCTGACGAGGCCTTTTAATAAACACAGAAGAGCGAACATAATCTGACTGCTATATGAAAATAATTTATTTAATGGGCCCCTCACCCCCTTTTTGGCTTCACAGATTCAATTAAAACAGAATTTGCAACTCATCATGAGAGTATCATTAGGCTGTGCAGTGCCTTTAGAAACAAGTCTAGCTGGGGAGAGGTCGGGTTTGCTGCCTGTAGCTTAAAGCCAGCAGCAGGGCAACAGCCACACAGAGTGCAGAGTGAGACCACTGCTGAAAAACAGCAAGCCCAGCTGGTGCCTGGGGAAGGAAACTATTCTGCTCAAGTTTTAAGTGTTTATGCTTTTTGTTTTCTGAAAGAAGAATTCTGCTTGACAAAGGTTTTATCTCTCCTTGGTGACCTGTTGCCTGCACCAGGTGGAGGAAGGGAGCACAGGAAAGCCTGACTCCACCGCAGGCATCTATGGCTGTCTAGGAACAAACGTTCTTGATGCAGTTTCCTTCAAGAAGATGAATACTTTTGTCTGCTGCGTTCCAGAAGGATCTGCTCAAAGCAGGATCTCAAAGGGAATGAGATCGTCCAGAGATGCTCCTGCTGCACGCACCCTGCTGCTAAGGTGGGCTCCACCAAACAGGGACTGAAAGAGATTTGGAACAATGGAAGCTGTTCCTGGGTACAAAGAGAAAGCTCTCCACAGACTGCTTGGTGTTGTCACACATCGGAGGGCCTTGCTCAGCATGAGCTCCTGCCA